TTTGAAAATAAAATTGTTGATTTTTTTTTTTTTTTATCCTCCCATTCTCCATATTCTATTGTCATTTCCAGGGGCTAGTCATGAGTCCATTGAGTTTTTTATATTAATTTTCTTTTGTTTATTTATATCCTGTTGGCTATTTTTGCTATTTTATCTTGGAATACAATATGAATAAAAGCACTATATATATACCAATAGAACAGTTATTCTGGCTAAACTGTTGGAGTCCTTCAAACAGTAAGTGAATTAATGATGAAATGAAAGAAAAAAGGAAAGAGGTATAAACAGTAAGTTTTATGTAATTCATAATTTTGTCAGGTGATTATTGATCTTGTGATTCTGAGGTCCACCACGTTTGGAAATGTGGGTTAGCTTCAACCCCCATGACAGCCAACATATTGGCCTTTCAGAGTTAAACTAGTTCTTTGACTAAGAAATAAATATAGTAATATGCCTATATGACGTCTATAATTTACATAGAACATAAAAGCAAGCATTATCATCTTATTTGTTTCGTAATTCATCTCAGATTGCTTTTTTTTTTTCTGTTATAATATAAGTGGATAATCTCAATAGAAATTGATCTCATTTTTAGCCTTAGTTTTTGTTAAATCTGTTACAGTCTTTGCATTATTTATAATTTAGGACTGTATTTATGGGAAAATATGGACAGAAGCTCCCTGAGTTAGTACTGTCAAAATCTCTAGGCATAAACATAGTGGAAGAGCATATGTTCAAAAATCAATTATGCATTTATTTTTGTTGGCCAAAGCAAAAGACAATGTGGTATATTTTTATAATATGCTACATACATGTATATGCATACAAGTGCCAAATGTGCTTTATATCAGCAGATATAATCTTAATGATAAATCATTGTTTTGTTTGTTTTGGTCTTGAATATTTATACCTTTGAATCATGCTTTTCTATTTTTGGTGATATTTCTTTTCACTACTTAACACACTAAAATTCATTTAATAAGTTATATAAGAAACAAAAACACAGTGGAGAATATTACATTAATAACTGGGAAATGCTGGGCTAAGAAAATATTTGTGAGAAAAGTTTCAACCTGAATTTTAAAAGCAAAGAACTTTAATTGGATTATGGTGCAAGTATAAAAGATTTGATCTATGTACTGCATTTTGATCTGTGTCTTGTTCCACAAAATTGAGTACAACTGTGGAACATTAGTTTTCATGTTTCATGATTTTATTGATTTCTTTTGCAGACATATCCACCAGAGAGGTAGAAACTCAAATAGCTAGAATTCAAGCTTGCAATTGAAATCTGACAGTCAGTCTTGGATCATATGACACGGTCTCCCACAGTATTCTCCTGGAGAAGCTGGAGGCCCATGGTTTGGACAGGCACACACTCTTTGCTGGGTTAAAAACTGGCTGGATGGCTGGGCCCAGAGAGTGTTGGTGAACAGAATGAATTCCAACTGGCAACTGGTTACCAGTCAGTGTTGGGGCCCATCCTCTTTAATATCTATATTGATGATTTGGATGAGGGAATTGAGTGCACCCTCAGTAAGTGTGCAGACAACACCAAGTTGGGGGAAACTGTCAATCTGCCAGAAGGTAGGAAGGCCCTGCAGAGGGATCTAGACAGAATGTGTCGATGGTCAGAGGCCAAAGAGATGAGATTCAACATGGCTAAGTCCTGCACTCTGATCACAACAACCCCATGCAACGCTACAGGCCTGGTGCAGAGTGGTTGGAAAGCTGTACAGAGGAAAGGGATCAGGGGGTGTTAGTTGACGCTCACCTGAACATGAGCCGGCAGTGTGCCCAGGTGGCCAAGAAGGCCAATGGAATCCTGGCTTGTATCAGGAATAATGTAGCCAGCAAAATCTGCAAGGTGATCCTTGCATTCTGCTCTGGTGAGGTCCCACCTTGAGTACTGTGTTCAGTTTTGGGCCCCTCATAGACACTGAGACTCTGGAGTGTGTCCAGAGAAGGGCTATGAAGCTGGTGAAGGGCCTGGAACACAAGTCCTGTGAGGAGTGGCTGAGGGAACTGGGGTTGTTTAGTCTGGAGAAGAGGAGGCTCAGGGGAGACCTCATTGCTCTCTCCAATTATGTGAAAGGAAGTTTTGGGGAGCTGGGGTTGGCCTCTTCTTGCAGATAATTAGCGATAGGACAAGAGGGAATGGCCTCAAGTTGAACCAGAGGAGGTTCAGGTTGGAAATTAGGCAACATTTCTTCTCAGAAAGAGTAGTCAGGCATTGGGACGTGTTGCCCAGGGAGGTGGTGGAGTCACCATCCCTGGGGGTGTTTAAGGAAAGTTTGGACCTGGTTCCTAGGGAAATGGTTTAGTGGGTGACATTGGTGGACAATTAGACCAGATGATTTTGGAGGTCTTTTCCAACCTTAATGATTCTATGATTCTATATTCACTATTAATGTAAGATATTTAAATACCCAAATCATTCTTGGACACATTGTATAACAGACATTAATTTGACTAATATTTGCAAGAAGTGCTAAACTACTGCTCTTCCAGATCTATTGATTCTTTTGCAAATAGAGGAGGAGAAAAATCACAGAATCACATAGAATCACAGAATTGAAGGGATTGGAAAGGACCTCAAAAGATCATCGGGTCCAACCCCCTTACCAAAGCAGTTTCCTTAGAGCAGGCTGCCCACGTTGGCGTCCAGACGGGCCTTGAGTATCTCCAGAGAAGGAGACTCCACAACCTCCCTGGGCAGCCTGTTCCAGTGCTCCATCACCCTCACCGTGAAGAAGTTCTTTCACATGTTGGTGTGGAACTTCCTGTGCTCTATCTTGTGACCATTACCCCTTGTCCTGTCCCCGCAAACCACTGAAAAGAGGTTGGCCAAATCCCTCTGTCTCCTAGACCTCAGGTATTTAAACACATTGATGAGATCCCCTCTCAGTCTTCTTTTCTCCAGGCTAAACAGACACAGGTCTCTCAGCCTTTCCTCATAGGAAAGTAGCTCCAGGCCCTGTATCATCTTTGTGGCCCTCCACTGGACTCTTTTCAGGAGAAAATACTTAAGAAATGTTCCATTTTCATATACCTTTATATACCAGCAAAGATGAAGACCAATCTTTCACAGACTGAGTTTACTTGCAGCTTGATTAAATGCCCATGCTTAGAAAATAAATTAAAAACTATTACATGAAAATAGAATATGATTTGTATAGTGCAAATGAAGAGTAACTTCAAAGAGAACTAGATGGAATAATGTCTAATTTCACTGATTTTCACTGGTTTGTGTCAGACTTTCTTCTTTTTTCATAGTTACTCATTTCAACCATTCTACCCACAGACCCCAGGCAACTGCAGAATTCTGATATTTAATAGTTTTGTCTCTGCAGAGATACAAACTTATCAGTTTTCTGTATCTGATTTGTACAAATTCACAACTTCACAATCTTAAATGGTTGCCTTTGGAATTCAACTTGCTACAGTATACTTCTGGAAAAAACTTTACCGTGACTTTTTTTTTTTAATCAAGTATGTAGTGGTTATCAGCATGAAAATAATCACTGCAGTGAGATATGATAGTAGTTTGTAGGCATGTATAACAGATAGTGATACATCTAATTTGTTGCATGCCTCTGAAGTTTGTTTGCGTAGATAATTCCTCAACATGTGCAACTGTCTGAAAGAGGAGATGGGGTAAAAAGGATAACATATATCTTAATCATGAAACAATAATAGAAAGATTGGTAAAGAGACACCAACTTTCAATTAAAACCAAAATACTATAAACAAAGAACAGAGAATTCTAGAAGCAAGGAATGAAACATGTAAAAATTAATCCTTTTTAAGACATGAAAATGAAATCAAATTTTATTTGAATGCAAGAAGAATAACTCTGGTTCACAGTTCACTTATAAATAAGAAGATTGGTTTTAGAATCACCAAATGATGTGACCACTACCCAAAGTAAGCTTTTCAAAATAACTGAAATACCATCCTTTTGTCTCTCAGAATTTCAAAGGTTATGGAAGGCCTTCTTGTTTGGTAGTCTAAGGCTGTGCAAAGTCCTCTTTACTCAAGCTGCACAGTAAGTTATCCAGATTTAGGATAACTGCTTCAGATTTTCAAGGTCAGAAATCAGTGCAATCTGAAATAGTCTGTGAATTGGAAAAGATAGTCTGGTTTTATAAATTTTGAAAAGAATGAACACCAGGCTCTTTGCTAATGAAGTATACAAACAGCCTAAATGACTGAGCCCTGTATAAGTGAAGCTGAATTCTTCAGAGGTATTTACTTACTGTGTGGCAGTAAAGTACTATTCTCATTTATCAGAATGTATTGAACACGTGGTCAAAGAACTCATGGATGTATAAGAAAAATAGGTTATCTGTATATTATCTGTATATTATAGGTTGTCTGTAGGTTGAGTTTGAAACATAATCTAAATTTTGTTTTCATGAGAGAAAACTGAATTCTGTCTTAAAGAATTAAGAGACATCAAGTAAAAGCTAATTCTGGCATCCTTCTTCAGTCCAAGCTATTAATTTAGTTTGTGAATAGTTCTATTATATCAAAAATAAAATTGATTAACTGAAGAATAATTTCATATAGCCTTGAGTTTTTCAACCCCAGATTTCAATGAAGAATATTTATCTATTCATCTGTTCAACTCAGCAAAAACAAGTTTGACAGAATCTGGCACCTGGACATAAAATACTCATTGACTAAAAACCAGAAAATGAGACTATTTGTGATCTTTAGGCCTTTAATCTGTATTTTTTTCAGAGTTTCACAGTCATTCTTAATAACTTGGGTTATAACAAAACAACATGCTTAATGTGATTTATTTTAAATAAAATTAGACAACATAGCATCTCCAAAGGTGTTTTGAGTGTGATTGCTCTGCAGGTGGCAGTTCTGATATACGACTTGAAAACACTTGAAACAGTATCTAAGACAGTTTAAAAGAGACTTTTTTAAAGTTATCAAAACTAAACTGATTTTATCAGTGCACTATTTGACTTTACTCATTTATACAGGCTGCATTAGAAAAGGAATGGCTAACTCTAGATTCCACCCGTTTCCCTTCAAAAACACTCCTGTTCTCAAACCAGCTGCACTGGCCAAAGGTAATGTGTCACAGCAACTTCTTACTATTCTGTCTTTATTCATTCCTTAAGGATATGCTATTCTGGGGCGATTAATAAGACAACCTATTGACTTGAAAAACACAATTGCTTTTAGAAGTCTCAGACTTCCTCCTCACCCCCAGATGCAATTTTTCTTCCTGAAAAATTTCTTTCTTGAAGATTTTCTTTCATTTGCTTAATTTTTTCTTTGTTTTGGACTTATTTCAACACTTTACTTCACAGTAGCAGAAAAAAAAAAGATGATGTTCTTCATATGTACATTTGGCAATGGATTAAAAATTGCTAGTTGACACACTACTTTAAAAATTACTGAGATATGACTACAGCTGAATGTTTTCAGAACAGCTAAAGATCATTGAGTTGTAATGTCTGCTAGTTACTTGATAAACTTTGAAGTTTTAGTTTTTGTTTTGGAAGTTTTTTTGTTGGTGGTGTTTTGTTTTGTTTGTTTTTGTTTTTTCCCTTAAACAGTATTTCACTTAAACAGTATTTCGTAATGTCCTAATGTTTTTATTTCCTACAATTAAAAAGAGAGAAATGCATAATTCTTGATATTTAAAGACTTTAAGTATAATTAAAGTCACCTTTTTGCCCTGTTTATATAACTGAAGGTAAGGTTTCTAATGAGCATAGCACTGTTAAGAATCCTGTTACAGGACTACAAACCCTTTTAGGTTTATCTGCATGTTTTGAAATTCTAGAGGTGCAGTATTGGTGATGCTCAAAAGTCTGTTCATATGCATAATTCATGTTTTTTTGAATAATTGTTTTCATGGTTTATTGTAGGAATTATCTTGTAGGAATTAAAAACTACTTTTTAATTTTAATTTTAATTTTTATTTTATTTCTCTTACTGAGAAGTATTCCAGGCCCTTAAATTCCAGTGAACATTCAAACAATTTGCAGTTGTCACCACAAGCACTTTGGCAGCATGTTGACAGACCACATTTATATTCACCAGAAAATCTCCACTTTCATGGAAGGTAAGTCAAATAATTTGGGGGAGGTGGGGAGGAAGAGGTATTTGTTTGTTTTGTGGGAGCATTTTTTTTGTGTATGTGTTTTCCCCAATTATGTTTAGTTGATTTGGATTTGACAAAAATCAAAAGGGAGATAAATGTTTTCTGCTGCTTTTGTAGCTGTTGATTAAAGTGACATTATTAGAGTTAAAATGTATTCACTGGTTAAAACCAGGTATACTAAAAACAGTTATTATTTTTCATTTATTAAGAGTATATGAATATATACATGTATTTTATGAATGTATATTTGATGATATAAAAATTTTTTTTCACATACATCATAACAATGTAGATGTTGAAATAGATTTCTAAGACTAGATAAAGATTAAAAAGGATTTCTTACACAGCTGCATTCTTTTGGAGAGAAAGAACTGAAATATGCTTTGAGTAATTGAAATGTAAACATTTCAAATTAATTGCAGACTTTTATTAATCTCTGAGATAAAGTCTTCCTGGAGTATTGAAATAGATTTATATATATATATATATATATATATATAATTTTCAAGCTTCAAAAGGCACAAACAACTTCCAGAATAATAAAGGCTTCAGAACAGTTTCCCAAGACCCTACCTTTCAGTACTGTTCCTATACTTTGGTTTCAGTTCAGAGAAGGGAACAGTGTCACAGCTCTTTGACTTGAAAGAAAAAAATAAATTTTCATTCAGATCTGGAAAAGAAGAAAAAATTTCAGAAGAATGGTATGTTAAGCTTCAGTATTCTGCTTGTTCCAGAAATAGGTACAGTATATTTAGTTGTTGTAGCTTGCTTCTTTTTAACTTCCAATTTTCAGTAATCTCTGCTTTATATCAAAGTAAAAATTATTGTTACTTTTACAAATATCTGAGAGACCAGCTTAATATATTATAATATTGTAATTTTAAGTTTCATGTTGCAGGTCTCTGTGTAATTCAGAATGTTTCATACCTTGCAGTTAAGAAAAAAATAAACACTTCTATTCTCTTTGAAAAGTGCATTATATGATACTATGCAGATGATCTAATACTATCTGAAATTTTTAGTGAGCTATTCTCTTGCCCTAGGGGTTTTAAAGACATTTCTACTGCACAGCTAATGCTGAAGAGGGCTCATAAAATGAAGCCCAGAAAGTACAGTAATAAAAAAGTAGGTAAGTCAACAGATAAGAAATATTCTAGTGATGTCATATAATGATGTAATTCTTAAATCTCAAAATAGACTTTCTCTTTTAAGAAGTTTGCTTGCCCAAAAGTAAACGTTTATTTAAATAAAGGTGGAGTGTGATTCAGTGAAAACAAATCGCACTTTAAGTTTCCATAAAGACCTCAATTTGTTTCAGGAATCAAAAAAAATCAGACTTTTAAAAACTCTGTGGTGGATTTTCAAATGAGCATTCGACAGCTATATTAGACAAAAACATTGTTTCTTTTTGTTCATGTATCTCATTTTCTAGTTGTGGAATATTTATTTCTGTATTCTGTGTTTCTTATGTTCTTATTTTGGTGGAATCAGATTAAAATTATTGATTTAGGTTAGTTTTAATTTTAGTTCCTAGGACTAAAATTTTGTCCTTAGAATAAAATTTGTGTAGTGTTATTCACATCTCCATAACTAGCTTGCTTTATTATGCAAGAACTACTTATGAAAATGGCAGTTTGATACATATGAAATGAAATAGTATTTTTTTTTTGTTTTTAAATATTCACTAGAGAAATAAATAGTACTTATGCAGCTTTTTGCAATTGTCTTTTGGTTCTTCTCAGATTCTTCTTATGTCAATGAACCTTTCTTAGAATATGCTACAAATATATATATTATGATATGCTAATACAAATGTCAATGGACTGTGTTAAGAACAATAATTAATACAATACCACTACTATAAGAAATGTTGAAATATTTAAGAGCCTGGATGACAATAGGACTGAACTCTAAATTAATGATCATGTTAAATGTCCTTTGGAAAGTGTACTTTTATTTATGTTTATTTTTTTAAGTGTTCATTTATTTGTTAAAACTTTATCAGAAGCTACAGTTGCTTTTTCCTCTTTTGTATAACTGCAAATCTCTTCTGTGTTTGGTTTTGAAAGTGCTCAAAGACATTTCACTCTTGGAAGGGAAAAAGTTCAGCATACAAATAAAGTTATTAAAAGTGTTTCTATGTACATTTTTTTGCAATTTAAATATCATGCCTAAGACTAATTAGATAAAAACAAATCCAGTTAAAAAAATGCAATGAACAAGCCATGCTTTATTGCTATGGAAAGTGAAAAAAATGAATAAAAATTTAAAATGATTCTATTTCAATCTTGAGAGCTTCCCATGATGCCTTGCCACTTTAACCTGAAAAAAAAAAAAAAAGGTAGTGAATATGTTGCATGCAGATGACTTTCTGACATGTTCCACTTGGTGGCCTGTGTATAATTTTTTTAATGAAAAGAGCTTATTGGGTTAAATAATCTTTTCTCCATATGCTCTCTGGTTTATGTTAGTAGTAATTAATCCAGTCATAAATGTTTGATCGACCAGAGCAAATTTACTATCCTATTTTTGTTGTAATTTGTGTGTTTTGTTGTGTTTTGAATATGTTTACTTTCACTTTGTTCAGATTATTCAGTATGGCATGTGCTGAATTTTTTAATGTATCACTTGGAATATTCTTGAAGTATATGAATAGTGTTGGAAAAAATTAAAAAAAAACAACCTTTTTCATAATGTTCTTACAGGTTCAAATATTCTTTTCCTGACACAAACTCATAAAGAATATTTTTGTGTATTACATCTAGCACAAAAAATAACCTTTTTATATAATTTTCCTGTATAGAATTCTCTGACAGTCATTGAAATAACATTCTTTTTCTCAGATAAGCAGGAAGTGTAATTTCCAGAACCAGGAAACATGACTGAAATGTTGCACTCTCAAGCCCTTTTCAGTACAAAGAATATCAGTCCAACCATTCTATGTCATACAGCACACTAACTTGTTTGGTCAGTAAGGACCAAATAGGATATTAACAATTAAAACTAGTGTTTTTTTCTTAAAGTGATGCTAAAACTCAGCTATTACACTAGAAAATGATCCTGATGGGACAATCCCATGTGAGAAGGATCTCCACATATACAGTTTTACATCAGCGTCAACTACCTCTTCTGAAGCAGTGAGAGCAGGGAGCATCATAGTCTCATGGAGAGTCTGGGGACTTTACAAAGGTAGAGTAGATACACCTTATCCTTAAGCTAGACAGCTCTAGATCAGGAAATTTCCAATATTTCCTGATAACTGGCATCTTATCAGCTTCATCTGCTATGAAGTGAGCTTCTTCCTTATTGAAGCGTCATATTAAATCTTGTGGGTTTTCTTATTATTATTATTAATGCTGTTCTTTCTTTTAAATTTACAGTTCTTCTGTGTTATATTACAATCATTTGCTTCTTAGCTTTTTGTTTAAAAATTCTTAAAGTTATGTTTCCTGCACTCTTAAACATAGGTAACCAGAACCCACTTAAGTGTGAATTAAAAGGTAAAAAGGCAATTTTCCATGCAATATCCATTTACTGGTATATATGTTTGACTCAAAAGCAAAATTTGAAGTTCAGAGAAGCAAAAATTTATCAACTAATAACAAATAAACTTATAGCTTTTATGCTAAGATTTTAGGATCATTCCACGCATCTTTTAAGTGTGACTGAGCTCTTCTGTGGTAATGATCTTATTAATATCAGCAGATGTATCAGATGCTGATAGATTTTGTAGGAATACACGGCCTGTCAGAGTGTGTTGTCTGATTCCAAATGCTATCAAACTCCTTCGCCTGAAATTCACAAATGCAATGTATTGAATTAGTCTCCATTCAGTGTGTTTTGCCATTCCTCTTTCATATGGCCAGACATCTGCTGGTTTGAAACTTAAATCAGACAGTCATGAACAACTTGGACTCTGAAAATCCTCAGGTGTGGGTATTTATTCCTTTATCCTGGTAATTTTCCATCTTCTCTTAGTACAACAGTGCTAAATACAATGGGATTCATTTGGTTAATTATAGAAGTTCACATCTGCTTTCCTTTATGGAAACAAATAGCCACATTAAAGACTGTTAATTTCCTTCCAAATCAGCATTCAAAAATAGGCTACTTGAATCTCACTGTGAAAGAATTTATAATTCTCCACTGTCTATACGCAAAACCTAGAGTGTCTGGCTGGAATACAGAGTCTAAACTGTAGAGATGTAAAAGTAACTGAGAAGTATCTTACCTCATATGTCTGGCAATGCACCTTTTCAGTAATGAAAAAATAAGAATACTAGCAAGTGCGCTGAATCCTGTGGTTTGTATTACAAGGAAGAGCTTAAAGTAGCCTAACCTTATAATAGGCAGTGATTCAGGCAATGATTATATTACAGCAGGCCCGTCCCTACAACTAATGGCTTTAAGGCCTGTTATACCCTAATCCACTACAGTTATGTATGCTTGTTTGTGTAGTTAAATAAAGTTGTGGCCTGTGTTTTAACCATACCAAATGTACACTGTGTCTACTTCAACTACTTTTACTCTACAGTAATATAATACAAAAAGTGTGGGGAAGAAACTAGGAATTTGGCAGTCAAGTAAAACTGGTATGATGTCAGAAATATTCCTGTTTATCATGGGTGCATAAAATTCCAAAGAAATTCTAATTAAAAATGTAAACACAGCAGTTTTTAATTAATGGACTTCACTGTGATTAAAAAATCTCTAATAACAATTGTAGCTTCCCAAAGGTGCATTAGCACAGCAGTACAAAAATTCTTGCTTAACTTTGAATTTCTTTGGTTATGTGGATTTTGTATTAGCATCCGAATATTAACTTCTTTTTCTTTTAAGATAGCTGGAAGCCTTGTCTGGTTTTCAACTTGTCACTACTACAGTGCCGTATTCATTCTTGTTTAACCTTTCCCTCTCCAAAGGAAACTCTCTTGGGAGAGACTGACAGCATGATATGATAATTCTTGCTGTCATATAATTATTAAAAAAAAAAAAAAAAGGCAAAAAGCAGATGAAGTGTGCCTTGACTCCCAGAACAAGAGAAAAATTAAGATATTTTATAGAGGTTAGCAAATAATTTTTAATTTCTAGTTTAGAATTTAAGACAGCAATGCAATACCAATACAAAACAAACAAACAAAACAACAACCAACCACCACAAAAACACAAAGCCCACAGCCCCAAAACAGATTGTACAACATAATTTTTTAAATTAACAACAATCAAAATAAAAACCTACAGGATATTATTATTCCTTATTACACATTAAGTAAATGGCCATTGATCCATATTTTCCTAGTAGCAGAAGGAAAGCCACTTTTGTTATTGCTTTGTGTTCCATATAGCAGAATAATCTGGGAGCTCCAACCAGGGATGAGAATCCCATTGTTCTAATTGTTGTTCAATTAGGGAACAAAATGTGGTCTTTCTTCCAAGTGAATTTACAAATTGAATTATCTCATAGATGCACATCTGTCACCGTGCTACTTTAATTTATCAACTCTTTTAAAGTTGGCACAGATACGTGTTTATGTTTTTCTAATTACAGATATTGCACAACAAAAAATGAACGTCAAACATTTAACTTTTTTCAGTTTAACATATTATCATGAAGTTGTTTAGCAAATGTGATGCTAGATCAGGCAGTAACTATTCCTTCCATATTGTTTCTATAACATATCTTGGGTTTGCCCAACTTATCTTCTATATTTGGAGTCTGCCAAGCAATGTGCATTAAATTACATCCCTGGTTCTTAGATTGCCAGCACAGATCATTGTCTAATAAGTCACATTTAAATGAGTGTGCCAGAATCCAAGAAGATGTTTGTATGATTTTGAGCTATTGGACTCTTTCACAGTTCTCTGTGTGAAATCTAAAACATTTGATTGCTTGTCATCAAAGCATACATACAGTTCATTTCCCTGTCTCTCTCAAAGACTGAAAAGTACTGGTATTATAAACTAATCTTTATAATATTGCCTACATTTGGATCTAGGTAGATAAAAAGACTCATTTTTAATAACAAAAGAGCTGTAGGCAATAGTTGAGGTGATCCAGGTAGGTAGAAATTGAAGTAGTCTGGCACTGTGTTAAATCCCAGCAGATTACTTAATCATTTTGCAAAGACGTGAAGATAAATCTTGTGACAGAAATCTCCTAGTAGAATAATTTCTATTATATCCCTCTTTTCCGAGGGGGGAGGGGAGGAGAGGAGAGGAGCGGAGAGGAGAGGAGCGGAGAGGAGAGGAGAGGAGAGGAGAGGAGAGGAGAGGAGAGGAGAGGAGAGGAGAGGAGAGGAGAGGAGAGGAGAGGAGAGATTTTTAAAACATATTGGAAAAACTTGAATAACCCACATAGGAAAATAGTGTGCTTTTGAAGAAATTATTTTGTTACTTGAAAATAGTTTGGAAATCTTCAATTATTTTGTCTTAAGAGGTTTTAATCAATTTTAACACTTTGTCTTTGGTTGTCCATTGAAGAAAGTTGTTATTGCAACTACCTTTGTAAGTTAGAAGTATTTTTGTCAACTCTGTATCTGATCGACATTGTATCATGAGTGTTAGAAAAACTGTACTAACAAAAAATATTTTGTATACTTTCATCTATGTATAGTGCTCATACTGCCACGTATCTTGCAAGTGTAGAAAACACAATAGTAACTTATAGTTTAGTTACAATATATTTATAACTTTTGTTATTTAAAAGTTCAGACAGAACTTTTAAAATGCGGTATATTATTATTATTTCAAGATATTTTCATCACATATCTTATTGTGATCTATTTTCCCACACATTTTCTCCCCTGAAGAACACCAGGTTACTACAATTTTATTTTTTATTTATTGTCATGCCAACATAGACATCCTTAGTCCATCTACATGAAATGAATGTATCTACAAACCTGATAATCCACTTCATAAATCATTCTAATGATCTACCTGTAAATTTAGTGGAACTATTTACTGGACCTTTAATATTTAGTGGACCTTATTTATTGTGCTTCGTTAGTTATTTCACTGAACTTATATCTGATATAGTTAGAAAAAGTAGAGGAAAATGACTTAAAATCTGGCATCCTCTGGATTGATCGGGAAGCTATAAACGTACACAAAGATGAGGGATTTTCTCCTAGACAAATGGAGATAACAAATGTAAGGTATTGCTGATTCTGCCTTGGAAAGAAGACATGGACATCCATATTTTCCATTATTCTTTGATTAGTCCAGTGTGTTGATTGATGAGAGGTTAGCATCATCAAGAGCATTCAGTCAACCAAAAGTTGCTACAATGTGGACTGACCAATACCATCATTTTTTGACATGTTTTGTCAATGCATTATCTCTAGAAGTGTCTATACCCCTTTAGAGTTCTTACGCAGGATTATAAGGTAAAGATGTAGTATGTCTCCATCTTCATTATTTGTGTCAAGAGGGCAATTTTCTGAAGGAAAAAAAAAAAAAAAAGTGGAACTCTCCACTTTTTTAAAGGATCATTTTTTAAAAAAGGATCTCTTTGTTACATTACTTTGTAACTGAAATGTGTTCTAGAAATGCAGAGATCTGTTCAAAAACAACTTTTAAAATTGTTAAATTTCATAAGAAACTGACTTAACAGAGCAATCCAATTCTTTATTTCCATAAATAAGGAAACAAAAACCAAACCAAAACAAAACACTATTGACTTTGCTGCAGTATTATGGACCATGACATATCCATATAGAGATGCTCTTATAACCTCTCTCAATAAACATAGATGATCTGCTACAAGGTCATAACAAGCTCATCAACAAGCTCATGGTAACAAGCTCAAAATGGAGCATCAGATACAATTAGTCTTGTAAATTTATTCTGTCTGAATGCTCTTTCAGTCTTCCCATCTCCTCTGGTTTCCTGCTCTCTCTTCTGGCAGCGTCTCACATATTCAGTTTTGCTACATTTGCAGTCTTAGTGAAAATTTAGATCCTTTCCTTAACACGTCTACTTCTTGCTTAATTCTGTTGCTAGGCTTTCACTTGTTATTATGTTCTAGTCTTTTTGAAAGTTTGCAGTCACCTTTGTAGACAAATTACTTCAACCTCATTGTTTCTCAGATAGTATGGAGTGTGTATTTGTCTGCTTGTGCTATCATCTTCTTTTAACCATTGGAAACATTTTTCAGTTTTCCTTTGTCTTTCTGTCACTCATGTCATCCACAGTGCCTTACCTACAAAACCCCATATGCTTTTGCTCCTTGTTATATATCTGCTTTTCTTCCCAGTCCTATTTTTTCTTACTTTTTTTTTTTTTCTTAAACTGACTGATTTCTTCTGCTCAGCATAGAATTCTCACATTCTTTATAAACCACTGTTTGCCTTAAACTCTTACCTTCTCTCAAAGCAAACAATTCTTCTTTCACGTAGGAAATTCATGGAAGTTGCCTTTCCTGATATGTGTGATTTTGCATTAGTTCAGCTTTTGTTAGTTACTCTTTTTATATTTTTACAGTTTAGGAACCTGTATTATTTGAATTTATATACATTCTGTGCTCAACTTTGCAACGTTTTCAAAATAACACATGAAACTAATCAAGATTTTGTTCTGTGTCATGTAGATGAGCCTATAGACTTTTGGAGTCTTTATTTTGGTAAGGAGGGGACATGGAAGAAACTTGGTTTATTATCTGCTAGTTTAGCCTCAAAAAATTAACTAATAAACTGTCTCATGGTTAGGTGCAAATAACATTTTTAGCTGCAAATAACTTGATTTGAATGCTTATGAAAAAAAAACTTCTAGAAACAATCCTTGGCATATACTCTGTTAATATTTCTGATTGAGTTTCAAGCTCTAAAAACAGATTTTTTAAATATTTTATGCAAATATATGCTTTAGAAATTACTTTAGTTTGGAGATGAGCTAGCTAGCTAAATAATGGTCAATTGTGTTAAAAACTGAAGAATAGTAACTTTGCTTCTCGGTTACACATGTATTTATGTTTCTTTATTTTAGAAAATGTAATCCTTTGTGAATATAAAACCTACTTTTAAAGGTCTTTTCACTTATTAAGTGGCTAAAAGGTGAAAAACTGCTTGAAGGAATGAATGAGCCAGGTCTGACCTTTGATTTTAACTTGTTCTTGTCGTCTAGACCCAGCTGTGCGCCTGGCGTTGTTCAAAAACAATGAAAATAAACATCTCCATGTGAAACCACCAAGGAAGACATGGCCTGCAAATGCTGCTTACTTTGAAGGTATGAACAAGAATTTCATTTTGTCTGTACGCATATAAGCATATATATCTCCCAATGTCTTTTAAGCAAGCCTACTTGAAATGTACAATACGAAGAAATTGAAGCAGGCAGGAATTTAAGGTCCTTATCTGTACCTCAGTGTCTCAAGTTACAGCAGTGAAGCTTTTCAATTTCAATTCATTTGAGGGGGTGTGCTCCTTGAAATTAATTCATAATGAACTGGTGCCTAATTATTTTTTTATTATTATTTTTATTAATTTACTTTCAAGAACATATAAGCATATAAGCAGAAGTATAAAATAGCTAGAATAATTTTTTTTAAAATGAAATATCAATTCAAATTCTTCATTTCATAGTCACTTTTTCTCAAACTACCTATTAATTCCTTATGATTGATAATGTTATTTAAAGGAATTTACTTTAATAAATATTCTCTAAAAGTCCAACATTTGACAGAATACAAAAAACATTTGACAGAATACAAAACTTCAGCAAGCAAATATAAGATTCTAGAAGTCCATAAATACTGTTTTAGTCCTTTTACTGTTGAGATTGATGGTAAAACTCTCCTTGATTTCAATATGGGTAGGATAAGGCCAAGTTTGACTATTTAAAATACCTTCTGGAGACATTTTTTTTTGACTGTTTTAGTTTCTTTTGCAACTCAATCCTGTGCTCAGAAAGCTATCACCTCTGTCACTGTATCTTTTTCAATGACATAGCCATACAATGCCTCATTATTCCCAACCCCACAAGGTAAAAGAGAAAATGATAATACTCTATTAACATTGTCTAAACGGTGATCGAATTTAGAACTTTACTTAGGCAGGTGTGCAATTGAGCCAAGTATACCTAAACTGGAATCTTGTCAATTAACCTAGCCATATGTAAGTCCAAATTTGCCTCACATTCATGAGTCCATGCTCAGATTTGGCTGGAAGCAATTCTTGGGAAATTTTGAAAGGGAAAAATGAGTTTGCACCTGTTTGCCTTGCATTCAAGCTCACCATCTCTGGGGGTGTTCAAGGAAACATTGTACCTGGCGCTTAGGGACATGGTTTACTGGGGGACATTTGTAGGAGGGTGATGGTTAGACCAGATGATCTTGAAGGTCTCTTCCAACCTTAATGATTCTATGAATTTACATACAATATGAAGAGTCTGTGTACATGTATTTGGTACCTTATTTAGTATTTCCATTTTATCATATCTGTTCCAGTGGCATATCCTCATATGCCACCATATGCAAAAGCCATCATATACTGAATAAATAGAACATACAGACTGCGTGGAAACAAACAAACAAAAACATGGATGTCCAAAGCTTAGAAGCAGTAGTGTGACTGTTCAAAGCCGTATCAAAGAAAGAAACTTAATCTCAGGTTCAGTACCCTGAAGTTAGTGCAGGTTTAGCCTACTTTTCCTGCCACTATTTTATCTGTTTCTGCCTTTAGACATTTGGTTCATTGTGGAAAGCAAGTGTATGTATGCAAAATATTATTGAAATTTACATCAAAATGCAAGCACTGTAGTGCCATGCTTTGTTTTTCATGTTAAGGAAGATTGTACTCCTTTGGCCAGCTAATAAACATTATTTTTTGTCAGTAATTTTATGTTGGGAGCTTACATGCGATCTGCAGAGCCTTCAAGAAGACAAGCAATGCTATTCTGCTTGATCAGAATACAAAATTGTTCTTCTACCTGAGGTATTGATACTATAGATGACATAGCCAGAAAACACTAGGTTGTGAATTAGAATCAAGGGTGCAGCACAGGGTGTTTACTAATATGTAGATACTGTCAACCTGAGATACTGTTGACCAGAATTCAGAGCTTCTATATTTAGAATTTGGATTAACATTCTGTATGTTATCCACTGTATACCTGCATGGTGATTTCACAGTTGTGTTACCAGTCATTTCTGCCCTCATTCACAGAAAAATTCATTTCCTATTTCCCCTCTCTCACCTTTTGACCATTTCTTCCTCTCTTGCCTGGAAAAAACTGTGCTGTGTCTGTTCCAGAGTGGGAGTTATTTCTGTAACAAGAAGTTGAAGTGATTTTACTCTGTATTCATAAATTTTGTGGACAACATATTCTAAATCAACAGAGAATACAGACCAGTTCATTGCATGTCGGAAATAAACTTCCTCTATTTAAGCCCTTTACCTTTACAGACAGGTAGCTAGTACTTTGGCAGAACTCCACTCCATCTCCTTCATAAATTACTAAACAAATATATATATATTAAAAAAAAAAAAGTTTAAAGTTTCCCACTTTATTTCTTTAAAGAGGGAAATGAGAGGAGAAACCTTAGCATCAATAGTAAGTACACATGTGTTATCTGTTAAATAGCAGAATCACTACTTTTGAAAGGGGATGCCCTCGGAAGTGAAACAATTAGAACAGTTTTAGGTTTTCAAACTGGAACACATCATGGTAATGAATATTTAGGACATAATCTAGTTAAAGTGTAGGATGAATGTCTTTCGTCTTTATTGTGTCTTCAGTTTGTGTTTAACTATACAAATAGAAAAAAAAAAGAATTAAAAAATAGAAGGTATAAATTAAAGGGTAGAAAGCAATAAGCTTAATATCTGATTTTTTTGTGCAAAGCGTCTTTATGGCTTAATTAAACAGTAGGTATCATTTATATTTTCTTATACGTTATCTTGAGGAAGTAATTAAAATATCAGCTGCAAATATAACTATTGTATTTGTACAGGTATGATTTTCTGATGTTTATTGTTTTAGACATTAATGAATGGTATACACTTATTAGACAATGGGAGTGTAGCAAATGAAAACCTAGATTTTGTCTGAATATGGATCTATTGAACATAAAAAGAAAACCTTGTAATTCAATAATGTCATCCTCTCCTGAACTTATTAAAATGAATCAATTCTGAGATAAAGGATATGTTCTATCATAATTTGCCTTTTCATCTAGCCTACAGGGTTGTATAATATACCTGCAATATCTAAACATAGTGAAGATACAGTGTTGATGTAATATGCAACATTCTTAGGTTCAAATGAAATGAGTAACTGTTTAATTATCATTTTATTTTATTTTTTTTTAGTTCTTGAAAATACTCTCTAGAAATACAAATTTTCTTTCTCCAAATCTTGATACAGATAAGACAATATTAAACCTAAAATATAGTGATGCTATATGAAATATTTTAAACAGGCTTTCTGATTGTTCACAGCATGTTGATAATTTATGTATTTTCTTCTTATATTTTTTAATTAAAAATATATATTCAGGAGCTTTAGTTCTAAGTCTCTTGCTTCAAATCTAATTTTGATTTCTGAGAAAATAATAACAATAGGTGAAAGAAATAACCACATAGACTTATTTGGCTAATGTTTTACAAAATAGGCTTGAAGAATTATTTCTTTATGAAGATCATCCTGTTTCAAAAATCAGGAGGAACTGATATGCAAAATAAATGTTGACATCAAATTTTGAAAACTTGTGGAAAGCTTTGATCCCATGGGACAATTCATATCTTTAATTTGACATATGCATTGTAGGAAAACAGTATGGTTGAAGAGATATATGAAAATACATCTTTCAAAATTTGAGTGACATCATACATTTTTATTAAATTTTGCAAGTCCTCATGTTTTGCTTACAGATGTTATGATAATCCCAAAAGGGAACCATTATTTCACATTCTAGTCCAATAGCACACAAGTTAGTCAGAGACAAACTGCTTTGCATTACATGCTTCATCAGCACATAAGGAAATGTTCCTACAGACAATATACAATTTAAAAATACAAGCAACATGTGAAGGCACAGGCATTGGGATGGTATTTAAATATGTTTATATGTATGTGTGTAGATGTATGTATGCATTAATATATGTACATAAATGTGTTTATACACACATGCATATATTCTGAATATGAATAAATATGAATTGAATAGTGTAGTAAATTATTAACAATTACTCTTTAATATCATTTGCAGTGTCAACATGCATTTTGTAATGTGATTGCTTTCTCTCAAGCTACTGTTTCGGTTTCTTTAAAATTAATTTATTGTATGTAGTCATACAGATTTGTGAAAACTTCTATTTAAATAAATAACATTTTTGGACCATAGTTATATATTGTGATATTAGTTTTATTAGGTTATAATGTAAGTCATGGAATATGCGAGTGTGCTTACTATTTCTCTTAAGAAACTATGTCTTGATCAAAAAAAAAAAAAAAAATGACTTGATATACTGAAAACCTCATTTCCGATGATTTGGTGGACATTTCCTGGGATTATATGTATTACATTGCTTCTTTTGGAGTGATGGGGTTAAGCTTCCAGACAGGTTGTTAAGTTTCAGATAGCACTAGTTAGCTGAGTAAAAAAATACATGTCTGTTTACTATTGTGATGAACATGCTTGGGTATTTTTTTTATTTCTTATTTTTTTTGATAATGACATTTCAAAGATCTCAAAATTTTGGAAAAGTTACGAGGAACACAGAAAATGTTCATCATTTCCTATTTCTCAGCAAAACATGTTTTTAGAGAGCTTTCTAACTGCTTCTTTTGTTATCTGGAGGCTATTTCAGTCATTGATATAATGTAAAATACAAAGTATTTTGGACAAAGTAGATTAGAAATTAAAGGAAGGATCTGTCTTTGACTGCTCTTTTCTTGGGAAGTTCCAATTAGTCCTGGCTGAATGTGTAACAGAGCATCTCTACCAGCTGTGGGTCTGTAATTATGGGGTGTGTAATTCCATTCATACAAAGGACAGATATCTACTTTTACCAACCAACAGTGTTGACTGCTTTGTCCTGGCGCAGCAGTATAAAACTAAAGAAGGAGCCCCTGGGCCTAGCACTTTTTTTTTTTTTTTTTTTTGCTACAAGCTTTGGAAACAGTATACATCTTTTAGAGTAATCTTTATTCCTTATACCTCAACTATTTTGGTGGGTTATCCAAATAATTCCTGTTCAGTGAAACTGGAAGGTGGATTCCAATCT